CTGAATATTTACCGGAGGACTCGCTGAGAGACTACGGCGGCCAGAAGAGGATCCGACAAAGTCGCGACTTCGTCCCGGGCGCAAATCGGACCGCGCGACTGCGGACTCGGGAAATTAGATTCATGCCGCGCTTTCCTCCGCCGCGCGAAATCAATCTCTCGATACGACGCGCGAGCGTATCGCTGCGGATGATGACGTCGATGTCGCGCTGAGGGCGGCGACGAGCCACGAGGGCAGGGGACTCTTTCGCGGAAGCGTTAATCTTTGTGTGTTTTCTCAATACCATGTATTTCCCTTCCCTCGACAGCGCTTTCTCATTTAATCGATGGTCGCCGTCGCGAGATATCGTCGATCGAAAAAACGATCCAACAGGCGCACGTGTAACACGCGCAGATAACGCTCCTCAGACATCTGTTGCTCAGGCACCCCGTATCGATCGGATTGACGCATCGATCGCGCAAGATAAGGGACACTGATGTGTCCCTTATCGGCGATTTAATCTCGCGAAAATGGAGCGAGCGCCGGGGCGAGTTAGCGGAGGTGATCACCGAACGGAGGCAGATCGGGATAGACGAGACGGGACTCGGATAAATAGATTTTGAATGAATACGAGAGATCTCTACACAGACAGGCTTAAGAAATGACACGTAGCCAAAATAGCGTTCACTCTGTGAGAATCGTATCTCTCTCCTCCATCTCCTCTCTCTCTCTCTCTCTCTCTCTCTCGTCCATTATTGCAAACAGTGGAGTTTCGCGAGACGAAGAGATCCGAAACGCGTGACGGCGGACTCGCGCTTTATAAACGTCCGCCAGTTTCCGCTGGACGAGGAAGGCGCACACCTCGCGCGGACAAGCATAATTAGTTGCACCTGTCGTGCGACTGCCGCAGCTCCGGGCGGTTCTCCCGCGATACAGAGGGAATCCGCCCATTAATAATATCGCTCGGCTGTGTAGAGCTGTCGGAAGCACCGGTGCTGCAATCGCGCACGCGGCGACGACGGCCGCCGCCACTCTTATTACCGTGACTGTACAATTATCCCCGGCGACGGGGATTTCACGCTCATCGATACTCCAAGGAAATCCTACCCTTCGTCGCGATAATTGTCAAGTGCCGGGCGTCGGCGACACGACGCGACGGTGGGAACGGAGACGATAGTAACGTTGTTTTCCTGGAAAATGTTGTCATCCGGCCGATAAAGAGAGGAATGCACACGACACTGCGATCGCTTTTTCTTTCCGCCGAAGAGGAGATGCGAGGAGCAGCACGTAGTCTCGTTGAAGGAGAAAAATACGACTTCGCGTATTTTTCTCGACTACTCGCAGAGAGCTTCGTCGAATCGTCGATAATTTTTCCGGCTTGGGAGATAAGTCATTTTGCGGACACGGAATCAGTCCATTATCTGAAAAGCAGACGGCGACTAGATAACGAGTTGTGAGAATAGTGTTGATCGAACATAGCGTGTATACCGTTTCGTTATTATTTATCCATTAGCGGCCGGTCTATGGTCACGCTTTTTTGCTTTCAATCGCGTTTGATGTATATAGTTCTATTTTTATTTCCATCGCCCAAGTCTCGGTTATATCCATGTTTTCTTGGAAAATTGTTCTAATACTATACTGATACAAAACCTCCAGGAAACACAAGCAGACTGATCCTCCGAAAATCCACGAAAAATATTTATAAAATTTATAAAGTAATATTTATAAAATAATTAATAGTTGCAAAATAATTATTATGCTTCTTAGTCGGTTGATATTTCGCGCTTCAGAAATGTTGTAACGGTGTCATCCAACATTTTTTATAAAACCCGAAGAATTTTTTTAAATTCTACGGCAATTTCTCTATGTTACGTTGTAAAGCGGATTTTATATGTCGTATATTAAAATATATTGTGCTAAAAAACAATGTGTTAAAAAAAACAAGAATGAAGGTATATTTAAAAATGAATTGAGTATTTTTATCCGTGTTATACCGTTTCATTTGTTCCTCACACATTCCTCATATTCAAACATTAAAAAAATTCAAAATTCACAAAGCGAGTGCGCTAATATGTGGCATGTTACTACCGGACAAACGGAGAAAGAAAGAAAGACTGAGGGGATAGAGAGGATAAAGGGGAAGGGCGAGCCCTGCTTTCCGCAATGAGAGACGCCATTAGAGATCGCCTGACATTTACAATTTTTTTTTAGGTCAATCCGCCCTCACGCTTGCGCACTTCCCCCGCTTTCCGTCATCCCTCCATTCCTCCATCTCGCGAAATTGTTTACCGTATACCACCCACTATGTAGCACTCCCCCTCACCTGTACTCGGCCGCCGCCGTTCCCTCGTCGCTATCACCCTCTCTCTTCTTTATCGCGTCTCTTTTTCCTCCTCGCTGTTCTTCCTCCGCACGTGCAACAACGAAATATTTCAAATACCTGAAATAAACTTCCACCGAGACACTTTTCGCCTAAGACCGACCGGTAGCGACGAGCGAGGAAGGCGAGGGGAGGCTGAGGGAAGGAAAGAGCACCGGCCGGGAGGGAAAAACAAGAGGGTTTTATATTTTGCTGGTGCGCGCGCGGGGTTTGACGAACTCTCTCGCGAAGGGAGATACAGAGATGAGCATAGTAAAAAAGAAAGAGAGGTCCTTAGCCTCTCCCGGGGACTTTCTTTGGAGAGGCGCGCGGCGCGCTGCGTATACGCTCGTCGATGTCGGCCGACCACCGGGTGGCGGGTAAGAGAGGTTCGATCGAGCGCAAAGTCTATTCAGCCAATAATAATCGACGGGGGGGGGGGCGGGATGCGCGAGGCGACAGCTTTGAGAGCGTTACCCTTTGCCTCTCGTCTTCGTCCTTTGAGGATACCACCCCGAGCTGCCAGCGCCGGTCCCGGCAGCCTCGTAATCATTCTCAGATAAGCGAACTACGACAACGGCAGCGACGGCGACGGCGATGTGACGTCGGGATCCTTTTATAGCCGCGTTTTCCGCGCTCGTTTTCTTCCTGCTCTTCCATCGCGCGACGTTCGTCAGCGGCAGCGGGGAAGGAGTGCCCGAGAAATCGCGCGACGCCGGGGTGTTTCTTGACTACCTCGCGCGTCTCCGCTTCTCAGTCTCACTCCCTTGGAGTAGTTTGATATTAAATATTCCGTATAACGTATTCCGTGAAACGCATTCGCGGCAGATGCGAGACGGAGGCAGGTCCGTCGTGCGCACGAAGACATTAACTCGTCCTATAATCTCGCAACATTAGTGTCGACGAAGTTGCGGGATGAGCTAATTTACTCTGACGTGATAGCCGCTACCAGCGGCTTACGCGACATAAATCGGGTTATATCCTTCCACTCGCCGCGCATTATTATGCGTTGTCGCTGGGGAAATTGCAGTCGCGGTAAGATTTGAGACTGTTTTCGCGAAACGGACGTGGAGCAAAAATACCCCGCGAACGTGTCGCTCACTCGTGCTTAGAAGTTGTTCTCTCAAATCCCATCTTGATTCAAATTCGTCTTGCGACTTGTCGATTGTGTTGAAAATATATTTTCTCCCCTCAAATCACAATTGCTGTTTCGGTGGAATCGTGTAAACTGTGCGAGGCAAATGCCAACGCATGAATTATATCGAAATATTATTCAATAATAAATAAGTAAACAAATATGTAATTTTCTCAATGTGATTTTTTCTAATCGGCATAGGAGTGTCTATAAAAATTTAGAAAGAATTACGGCTAAATTATATTTGAAATTTCGGTTCTTCCAACTCGAGATTGCGAAATATGAATATTCAAACGTTTTCAAAAATTTGAAGCTCGAAATCGAATTATTCAGAATTTCGAATATATCAAAGAGTATTATCTCTAATGAAGATACAGGATTAATTAATTATGTCGAGAGACGAGCCTGCAGAGCATCCTGGAGTGTTCTTTCCTTCCTCATTTTTATAATTGATTATGAATCGTAGCTCTAGAGAATGAGAATGATAAAGAGCTACAGGGAAATGCGAAGAAAATCCACTCAAAGTTGCCTACTGGTATGACCCACTTTTGTCAGAACGCTCGCTAACAACCGCGAAGGCTCATCCCGACAGGATAAGACGCGAAACTTTTAATTGCACAGAGCGACTTGGCAAACATCCCCGGGATCAGTCTCGCTGCAACCCCTTTTTCATCAATCCCCGAGGCAGTGGCGGCCGCTTGTCAAACCCGAGCAATTTGTAGAGCGAACGCTTTACGTCGCATTCTCTCGTTCTCTCCGGAAGACCTCACCGAGGCCTGTCGTCGGTTTTCGGGGATCGTAATTTTCAATGAGTTAGTTGTAGCAATTTTGCCCGGAAAGACAGAGAGGAAGAGAGAAACAGAGAGAGAGAGAGAGAGAGAGAAAGAGAGAGAGAGAGAGAGAGAGAGAGAGAGAGAGAGAGAGAGAGAGAGAGAAAGAAATAGAATGGAAAAGAGAAAAGAAAAAAGAGAGGGAGAAGGGAGATCATTTTCGTCGCGAGAGCGTCGCGAGAGAGTTGTTGCTGCGAAGTAGCAAGTTCAACGGCTCTCGGAGAGCCAACCACGACACTAATCAGTACGCGCGCGCGCGCGCGAGAGAGAGAGAGAGAGAGAGAGAGAGAGAGAGAGAGAGAGAGATAGCTGAAGTCTTATATCGAGAAACTTGATTAACGACGAGGTATTTGAAAAATTTACAAGACTAATTCGCGAAAGCGCTCCCGTCCCTGCTGCTTCGATCTGATGCAGTTTGTTTTAAAAGCGCTTCGTACCTTCGTCGAAATTCACGCTGGTCTCGCTCGCTGTTTGCGGTCCCTATTTTTAATCGCCGAGAATTTCAGAGAATGTTGATGTTTACGCGCGCTGTATCTGCGCCAGTGAGATATTTATTTATCGTGGATATCTCTCTCAAACGATCAATAATGAAATGTTCTGCCTGAAAAGCAATATCTTCTCGATATCGCCATTCCCGCAGTGGAGCCGCCGCCGGCACGTAATAGAAAAATTCACATATTCGCCGTTTGTTCCTCAGGTTCCGGACCCTTCAATCGAGCGATGCTCATGAACGTCGGCTACGTGGAGGCACTGAAGGAGCGGACCTTCGATTGTTTCATCTTTCACGATGTTGACCTACTTCCAGAGGACGATAGAAATCTGTACACTTGTCCCGAGCAGCCCAGGCACATGTCGGTCGCGGTGGACAAATTCAAGTACAGGTAAAAACGATCAGAGTCCGATTTCGTTGTATCGTTCGTTCGCGAAGAAGCGAACCGCGGACGGTCGCGGATCTCTTCTCGATAGGAATGTCAAATTGCCAAATCCTCCTCAGGTTACCCTACGCTGATCTCTTCGGCGGCGTGTCCGCGATGTCGCGCGAACACTTCCAGCTGGTGAACGGCTTCAGTAACGTTTTTTGGGGCTGGGGCGGCGAAGACGACGATATGGCGAATCGTATCAAAGCCCACGGCCTGCACATCTCGCGTTATCCGGCGAACGTCGCGCGCTATAAGATGCTCTTACACAAAAAAGAGAAGGCGAATCCGAAAAGGTGAGTTCAGCGTGGACATTTCTTACTCAGAATATCAATTTTGGGGTTTTCTTTCTTACAGTAATTTCTAGTCTTGCCTTACTTCGTCTTAATCTTTCTCTTTTTGATACTTTCTAATCCTGCCTGTTTCTCTCTTCGTCTCATTTCTCATTTCCTAATCCTGCTTGTTACTTTGTATTGGTTGGTCTTATTTCAACAATTTCTTATCACGTTTTTTCACTTTATCTCGTTAAAATAGCTTCGTAAGGTAATTATATAATCAAGAGTCGATTGTAATAAGAAATATCCGATCTTTGACGGCAGGTATGAGTTCCTGAAGACAGGCAGGAAGAGGTTCTCCACCGACGGACTGGCCAATCTACAGTACGAGCTGATCGACAAACGGAAGCCGAGACTGTACACGTGGCTGCTAGTGAGGCTGACGCCGCCGCAACCCAGCTGATGGCTACCTTGGCTCGGCTAAAGGCTCCTGCGCCAAAATCACGTTTGGCAGAGGAGCTCGCGATCGTTCGCGCTCGTCAAGGAGCATTCCCTAGGGTTTGCCATTCGTCAAAATCGAAACGAGACCTACGCTGGAACATCGAAAATCGCGCAAAACTGATCGCAAGGAAAATGCGAGCTCCATGCATTTCCTGCGGGAACGCTTCGAGGAACTGTGGAGTGGATCTTGCTGTTAATTTTAATGACGTCGGAGACGCGACGAGCTTCCGAACGTGACGGCGTGACGGCGATCCCCGACACTTCGATCCCCAACTGACGCCATGCAAATACCACGAAGATATCGCAATTACTTGGTGGATAATTGTACTGTGCGAAATGTAATGACCTGCCGCGAAGATTAGAGGACTCATGTGAGAATAAGATCCGGAGATGCGGAGAGAGACGAGCCTCGCGGGATCCCGTGAAATTTCGAGCGGACGTGACCGGCAATTAAGGATCATCGAGAACACACACACACACACACATAACACACATACCAACGCGACGTCTCTCCGCGTTCGAGATGTGAAAGAAAAAAAATCCGCCGAATTATTTCGCGCCAATCTCTTGCAAACGTGTCGTCGGAAGCCGATTGCTTTCTCGATATTCCTTTTTTTCGATCGGCAACGGACAAAAAGTCAATAAAAAGCCGATAGAGTAGAAGCTTAGTTTAAGTATATCGTTTGCGTATTGCGTCGCTGGTCGAGAGACAAGGCCGAGAATAAAAGATTCCCGGAGATTAAACAAGCAGACGTGTGTGTTGAAGAGCAACGTCTATGCAAGTTCGGTGCGTGTCAGTTTTGGGGGGGAGGAAGGAGGGAAAGAGAGCCGATGCTGCGGAAAGAGGAGAGAGAGAGAGAGAGAGAGAGAGAGAGAGAGAGAGAGAGAGAGGGAGAGAGGGAGAGGAGTCGTTCTCTTGACATCTCGCCGCTGCGTGAGGGTCTCGCGCGCGTTGTCCCTTACCGCGATGAGAAACGATGGGGTTAGGGGACGTTGTTACGTGATATATTTTTATTCCTCATATTTTTTTATCGCAACGATAGAGTAGAGAGCGAGTAGAGAGTAGCATACGAGCTGACGTGCCAAAGGAGAGGAAGGAAAAAAGAAAGGGAGAGAAAGAGAGAGAGAATGCGTGCGTGCGTGCGTGCGTGCGTGCGTGTGCATGTGTATGTGCGTGCTATGCGAAAAAGAGTGCGAGAGATAGAGAGAGATCAAGGAGGAGACGCGATGAGAGAGCGTAAGGAGCAGTAGGAAACCCGAGAAGAGGCTTCCAGCGTCCTTTCTTAGAGCCGAGCCACGATATCACATTCGCAACCTGTCGCCGCTCTATCGACTATAACAGAAGAGAGACTTCGGGGAGCTTCCGCTTTCGTGGCTTTATGTGTCCTGTTCGCCAACAAGCGATCATCGCGAACAGTAGAACCTCGTTAGCGGACGCCGAATAAGAAGGGAAGAGAATGAGAGAAAGAAAGAGGAAAAGAACAACCGGACTGTAAAGAGTCGAGAGATCATATAACGGTAACCGGTTAATAACGATGAGTCAGCTGGGATAATCCATCGCCATCTTAAATTCCACCGCGATCCCAGCCGCGGTTCGTTTCCGTTCGTACAATGGAACATACGGAGAGACCCGGGAAGAGAGATATTATACCAAAGTGGTTAATGGCGTAACTCGTTCATCCGAGATTAGCGGATCAGCCGATCTTCTTCCGATTTTCAGTCTCTTCCAGCTCGCGGATTTGCCGAGGATTTACCGCGCGATCCGTAAGACAGACGGCGACTTGTTCGACTGAGGACTGAATTCTTGATGGCGGGCGAGAAGCGAAGGAGGAAGATGACGTCTGTTCGGACACGTGCGGCGATGAAATCTTTTCCGTAGACTAATCATGCGAGATAACGCGCTTCAGGGGCTTCGAATCACTCTTCGGAGTCGTGTGTCGTACACACTCGTGCTTCGTGTAACTCGGACGACCTCCTCTCGAGGCGGCTGGTCGGAGCTTATTTTTCTAGTATACCCTGGAGTGTGACTGATCGATTCGATGAGCACGTCCGTGGGTTTCGTTACGATGAATTGTGATTTCTGGACCGGTATTAGCGCGCGATCGCGGCCGTGAAATGCGGGATGATGACGATAATGACGATAATAATAATAATGACGGTACTTAATCGCGTTTGACCGAGCGTGCGCGCACATGAACACGAAGCGTGCGTCACACTGTGTACACTTGCTCGCGCGTATCTCGGTATGTACGATAAACGACGATAGAATCCGCATTCCACGTGTCAGAGCGAAACTGTTAAATATGCGGCTTCTGCGCGGAGGCAGACTAAAGCGTAAGAGAGAATGGCAGACTCGACGTCGGAAACCAAAGCAAGCATAATAAGAAAGTATTCTCATCACCGTTCTTTACCGTTGACATCTGTACTATCAACTATCGCTGAAGACGATCGGTAGCCTGTGATTTCGTCGCGTCTCGCATCAATTCGCACGTAAAGTGCGTAATTGCACTCAACAAATTCAATGTCGCAGTCGATAGAGAACCAAAAACTAGACAAATATATTATTATAGTATTAGAAAATATAATATTCGCCGAGACTTTGGTTACTCAAGCTTCGATGAACGATCCACGGAGGTCACAGTGGCAGTGGCAGCGTGTCAGTTGCTTATTAAGTTTTTCTCATATGTTACTGTGCGCGAAAAGGTAATTCGTATTTGCCATTCTTTACAACGTATTCATACGAAATTTGGACTATTAAGATTCACCTTTTCTCCCTTTTCTGAGAACAACAACATCAAGGCGCGATGATACCGAGGATACCGAAGATAATACGCGAGATCGACGAAAACGTTAGCGAAGAAACGGCCGGATACGCGCGAGCGACGAGGTTTAAAACGGACAATAGCAGCGAGGCTCGGTCAAGACTTAGAACGCATTAACATATCACTTGTCTTGTCAGTAGGGCGTAGTGCGAGGACGCGTGACGTTTTCGTGGACGAGCATACTTAAGCGTTACAGACTCCGAGAGAGCAAATAGAGAGCGGGCTGTGAATAACGCATCCTTTCTTGCGGTCGAAGGGATCATGGGATTGGAGAGGAGAAGAGAGGAAAGGAGACAGAGTCGACGACGAGCAGCGGCACGATTCGCGTAGCAGCATCCTGTTCCTCTCTCGCATCGCGCGCGACGAGCACAGTCGATCGATACTCATCCCCGCCATAGCAGGACTGCTCCTTGGACTCGTCCGGCGGCGGCTATCCGAGACCTTCAGGATTTATCGCGTCGTAATCCGCATCGTCTTCGACAAGCTTCAAAAATGCTTCCACCGGAGCGCTACGTTGTTTTTTCTCGCGACAACGAGCTCTCAGTTCCTCATGAGATCGCTTGACTGGAAGCTCCTGGATTGACGGCGGAAGCGCTAAAAAGTCTCTCGTAAGATACGTTGAGATGAAAGGAGGATGTATCCATAAAATTCATTTCAAGATATTTTGCGAGAATTCTTGGCGCGTGTTTTCCCGCTCCCGACGCCATCAACACGAGAGCCTTAGTTTCCGCGAAACTGTTACCTTTCCTCCTCCTTTTTATAACCGACGAGTCGCACGAAGCGTCCGTCGACTTGTGTATATGTTTCTTCCTGTCTCTGGAGAGAGCGAGATATCAACTCGAGCCCGCTTTGCGTATGCGAGGGTGAGTGTCATGAGTGCGAAGAGCGCTGATAAGCTTCTCGAGGTCGTTCGCGACGGAGGTGGGACTTGGCTGATGTTCGCGTTGTATAAAGATAGCACATACGTGAGTAAACTCGGACATGGAAGTTGAGGGGTGTGCGAAGGGAGGATATGCAGAAGAGGAAGAGAAAGGTTTAGCGTGTTCCTTTTATCGCCGTTCCTGTGATTAAACATTCCGACGTCGTTATTAGATCCAGAGATAATCGGTTCGTACGTTCCGTTGTTATTTCGGATTATTTAATCCGGCTTGTCTTCCTCAGACTTCTTCTTGAAACCGTTTCCTTCGTTCAGGTGGACGATACATTCACTCGCAATTAAATATATCATATTAATATTTTTTCACGCAAGAAATTAGACTCGGGAAGCGTAGACGCGCAAGAACTTTGGTGAAATCCACCGAATTTGTATAAATTGCGAACAAGTCTGGGGAGGATAAGTATGCTCAGGATAGATATGCTGAATTCGTAATTCGCGGTGTAGCCTCGTTGAGAGATTTTTTCAGAGCATATACCGACAATATTATTTAATGTTTTGTTTTCGTTTCTTTCTTTTCTGTCATTGTTAAGCCATTCTATAGCTATATTTATTTCGATAGTACGATGAACGGAGTGGAAGACAGAGCAAGCGAACGTACGAAGGGAGACAGTTCGGATAATATTTCAGTATATCTTAAGATGACGTTGTACCATATTACTACCGTTATCGAATAACCGGAAATAGCCAAGATAATTTATAAGATAAATGAAGGAGAAAATATTTAGCGTGCTCTGCGAAAATGGTATAAGTCACAATCGCGACGGTTTTAACGGAGAAGGATTGGATTTTCTTTAAACACAACTGGAAAAATTCGATTCGATAATAATCGCGTACGATTAAGAAAACGTTTTTTTAGTCCGCTTAAACATTATCAAATCAGTCACCTCATTCGAAATAGCACGAATGTGCGAATGCGGTCAGAGTGACTGCTCTATATGGACATATATAAATAAATATGTAATTAAATATGTCCACAACAAAAAAAATGCTATTGTACGAATACAACTGATGTGAATGTTTCTGTTTGTGATAGACTTGTGATGTCAACGTTTAATTTAATACATTCCGCGCTGTATAGGCGCTCATCCATATTTGATGTTTCAGCTCCAAAGCGAAATGTCATGAAATCAAAAATTTCGATAATTATTTTAAGACACGTTATATTTGACGGATAAAATTAGTTTACGATAAGACAAACGCGAGCGACAAATCACGTAACATCAGTCCGGTACGGGACGAGTAAATTCAATTAACGAAACTCTGTCCCTTTTTCTTTTCTTCCTTGAATATTTTTTTCCACGTGGACATAAATAATTATATATGATTATATACGTGTCTATTGTACAGAGACAAAATGCATACAAATATGGATATGAATTTATAAATATGAATGGGAGGGGAGGGTGTCATATATAATTATGTAAAATTTATAAATTACCATTATACACGATGTTAAATAATTATATATGATCCTCTTTTCCCAGGAAAAGCGTCACATACGACAGCGCGGCTTTATCGAGTCCCGTCATTACAATCGTTTACAAACTCTCCTTGACTTATAGTCCGTTTCCCGAGTACGCTACGTGCAAGCTGCGTCGCGTAAAGCAACGTAACGCGTCGTGTTGTTGACATGTATAACAGGACATTTCAGCGAGTGTCTTTTTTTTTCTCGGCATATCGTACGATCGAACACATGTGAAAGAAAAAATTAAGAAAAAGAAAAGCGCACCCTTCCTTTTTTTCTCCGTGTTCGAAGGTGTGCAAATCCGTTAGCTTTACGCGGAACATCCTGCACTCGCGTGTACACCAGGTGAATTTGCTGCGCTCGATTGCCGCACGAGAACTTCGCGGGATGGAGGAGGCAGAAGCGGAGGAGGAACAACCACTGATTCGTATGCCGCGTTTGAGTCCGGCCACGACCTCGAGCTTCCGTCGAGGTGTGCGTGCGATGAGATTTTTGTACGTATCGCTGTTACATCCCGCACACAGGTACGAATTTACGAGCTTCATTTATCGTGTAAGAGAGACATTATTTCGCGGTCAGTCATGTGGAGATTTACGATCGGGTTGTTATCGTCGCGTTGCTAGGCTCATGATAATTAGACGAGGGATCGTTTCGTATATGACAGAGTGCGATTGCGTTTCTTTCTTTCTTTTCGCACTCGATACATCACCGGTACGTCGCTAAGAAATGAGCGTTCTCGTGCGGCACAGGCGCGCGCGACTGTCAAACACCAATCATCAGCAAAGACGAGATAATGATTAGGCGTTAGGTATCGCGTAAGATAATTGCTAAGTATTTATATGGAGGGAGGAAAACGCCGTGACGCGTTGGAACGCGTCACGGCGATGTAATACGATGTGTAATATATTATACATACATATACTATATACATACATATATATATATATATATATAATATAAATATTTACGCAGTGCTAATTAGAAGCGTCAGGGAATTTTCGGAAAGCGGACACGAGGATTTTCCGCACATCGCTTCAACAGCCCGATAAAACGCGAGACGATATGTTCCGCGAATATTCCGCGGCGCGGACGTACAATTACGGATTTTGCAGGAGTGAAACTCTCTCGTGTAAAATTACAATTCGCGGGAAGGGCAAGTCAGATTTATCCAAACTCGCGTGCATATGCGCCAAACGATCTATCTGTGCAGATATTCCGACAATTCTCGAGAACGCGCTGTCGAAATCTTTCGGGAAATCAGGATTCTCAAAATATCACGAGCGATTCTTGCGACGTTATTGGCATATTTTCTGCGTATCGCCGTGACTGTCGGGGCATCTTCGGAACACGAAAAATTTCCGGAGGAATATTCACAAAATACCTCCGGAATACCGCTCATCTCTCACGGCGGAATATCTCGTCGAAACCGCCAGTCTCATCCAACGGCTCGTTTCATATTTCTCGAGGGGACGACTCTCTTTTTCTTAAAAGCCATCGGGATCTACCGTTTCAACTTCTTCCATCTTCATCTCGTGTATAAAAGCCCATCAAGAAAGAGTACGTACGCGTCGACCTCGACGCTCGCATACAGATCGGCTGCTAAGGTGAAACAAAAGAAATGGAAGCACTATTTAAAAGTGTAACACGAGCAAAATAAGTAATCTGTATCCTCGTGTACGTAATACTTGCTTCTTCTCGATTTGCCAGAAACACCTGGGAAGCTGTCCTCTTTTCACAGGTTACATTCGTGATGTATCGGAACAATAAATTTCTGTTAAAGCACAGCTCTTCTGTCTGTTTCTCTTTACCTGTCCTCGACTCCTCTTTCGTCGCTCTTCCTTCAGAAATCAAAAAGAATTCTCCATCGACTGACTGACTCTTAAACGTCGCATCGTGACGTGATTTAAGCTTGGAAGGATTTAATTAAGCGGGACAAAATAAATCGGTATTTGGATTCGCCCCAAGGATCTCAAGGACATGGTTCTTCTTTTCTGTTAATCAACAAATCACCGTCACACGAGACGTCACATGTTCGGATATGTGTGTATACGTATATTTGATTCGTGCTGCTTACGGACTAACATTCAGCGCAGAAATGCATGACACCCCCGTAGCGATATAAGTGCGATATCATATTTCGCTCGCGTTACACCGACAATACGAAAAACCTCTCGGTCATCACCTTTTCCACAGAAACACACACATGTCTCGCAGACGTCCGAGAGACGTCTGAAAGTGGTAGAACGTCTCTTTCGGGGCTGTCTCGACGTCTCTGAGACGTCTCTGAGACAACACGCGTGTTGTGTCCGTCTCTCTTCCGGATAACTATGTTAAAATCGACACACAATTCGAGCCGATAGTCTAAAAAGCGCCCTTCCTCCTCGACGATATAACATCGACTAATGGACAGTGAGTTGCCGTACGTATAATGTAATTATTACCTTCGCTATCACCTTCGGGGCAAACACAGGCAAACACAGTTTTCGGTTGACCGTGCCCATCCACCGCGCGGTAAAGGGGTATGAAATTATTCACCTATTCATTTATTCGCGGTAACGACCGAACAATCGATAATCGCATTGCACGAAACAAGGACCTGAGCTGTCTCCCCCCGGGTGAGAGACGTTATCGTGACGCGCGCTCGAAACGATAATTGCGCACGCTCGGACGCGATCTAGAAACCGAATTGCGCTTGTGTCGTGTATTTGCGGCTTAACGGTCGATAAATTAAACATCGATATAGTTAACGCTAAATTATGTTAACGTCCCTCGTTTATCGGCGCCATTGTTACGCCCTACAGCCTACGGCGCACATATTTATACTTACAATACATCATCACATTCATATTTAATATGTAATATGCGTACATTACGGTAATTCCTTCTTCAATTCGCTCTTTCCCCTCCTGCCCCCCACTCTTTCTCTTTATCACTCGATCCTTTGCTCTCCTCTTCTTTCTCCCTCCTCCCTATTCCTTTACGTCGACTCTATCAGTGAAACTGATATCGGCGCGAAAAAGCTCCCCGAATCTGATTTCTCCCTTCTTCTTTCGAGTAGAAAATGAATTCCTCGCAAGACGAGCAAAACTCATCGTCGCTGATGATGAGATGCCGTTAAGGAACACGGGCTTTTGATCCTCGTACAAACGGTAACGCGACACGCGTCGTTCGCCGAATATAAACTCTCTAACCAACTGTTAACCGCAACTGAGAAATAGTCCAGCTATTCAATGAAAGGGGCTCGAGACTACCAACGATCAACGTAAAGAATTATATTATCTAACCGGCACCACGGTATGGAATCGATCTACGAAACCTGGCGTGTCTCGTTCCTCGAGTCGTCTCCTTTCTCCGATTATATCACGCAGCGCAGCGCTCTCTCTCTCTCTCTCTCTCTCTCTCTCTTCCTCTCTTGGACGCGAACGCCTCTCGAGTTTCCTCGCTCCCATGTGCGCGACTAGCTGCACCTAATATCCCAGAGCCGATGTCGTTCGGAAACCGTTGTTAACACGTCGACTGCCACGATGGCCAGCGGTAACCAGCGTTGTGGCGTCTCACTAATTTACACATAAATCGTAACAAACTCTGCGTATATATAACAAAGTGTACATATATATATATATACATATTATATATAGCCGATGGAAAAACCAATGGAACGAGCTAACGAATGTAACGAACGCACCGCGAATTACACTTGGCCGAGCAGTAGCAGGTTGGCGTCGAGTGAAGTATTAATGACGCATCGGTGACGTCTCTGACATCGATGATCCGTCATTGATACGCCCCACTCGACGTCGTCGTGTCTACTAACTACCTGCCGCATCTTTGGTGATCCAAGCACGGCTGGAGCATCGAAACGATCGACGGAAACAATCAACACGGCAGTCAACGTATTAAATCGCGCGAGGGTCCCTCACCATTCTCGCATTCTCTCGCGTTTAAACAGTAGGCTTGTGCGATATGTATATGTGTAAAGTAATTGGCACACAGGTATATACGCGTTATACAAAAATCCCTTACTTAATTGTTTCTACCCCGATTAAACACCGTCCTGCCGCCGGTGAGTTGGTCCTCCACCGAGCCGTCGCGCATCCTCCGCCGCGACGAGCGCGAGAGTTCTGCTCGGCGACGTGGTAACGCGGTCTCGTCGCTCATCGCACAAAATATATACCGTATCGTCGTCACCTCTCGCTCTTTCTCCCCCTATCTCCCCCTTCCTTTCGAGCCAGCGCTGACCGTCGGCAGCGTTCGATGCGGAAACTAATGGCGGTATAACGTGTAACCGTCGACGAGAGTCCTCCTCGCGAACTTGGAGTCGCGACGAGGAGAACAGTAGCGCACGGTGGTAAAGCCTGCTAACGGTCGCCCTGGTTGGACTTGTTCGGTTGGCCGTTGTTCGAGAGGTGCTTCCAGAGGCCGGTGATCAACGGCACGTCTCTGAAGCTGTCGGCCGCCGGCTATCCCTGCTACGAGCACATCAGGTCGACCGACCTGGACTCGCCCCAGGCGTTCTGCACCTTGAAGCTCGTGTTCGGTCTGGGCACCACGTGGTGAGCCGGCGTGGACGCGCTCGTGTGCCTCAGCGTGGTCATGGGGATGCTGGTGGTGGTCGTGCTCTTCTTCTGGTTCTTCTTCACGTCCGAGTCCTCCTCGAAGCACACCTGGAAAGAGCACGCGTTTTGCGGCTGAACGAGGAGACGAGAGGCTCGACGTTCTCCTCGGCGGTGCGCCGAACGAATGAACGAACGAGTGAACTAAGCTGAGCAGCTGAGAAGTCTCATTGAAAAAAATTACAAGTGTCCCTTATTGATAATGATGAAGTTAAATTTAGTTCATCAGCTGGCTCTTTTTCAAAAACGAGTTCGCTAAATCAATGTTTAAGCAACGGTGAAGCAATAATGGAGAAGAAAAGGGAAAGAGGGGGACTATAAATGGAAAATGGATTGACAGAAGGAGCTGAAGTGCAGCCGTGGTAGTCGGCTGCACCTCAGAGATAGCTTCGTTGAAGAGTTATTTATCCTTTATTAATAATAATGAAGTTAAATTTGCCCCATCATTTACCTACCTCAAAAATAGTGACAGCTAATGAGGTAGATTTAATTTCATTATTATTCAACTAAATTTATCGTCAACTTAACTTGATTATTATTTAAGTAAGTGACGTTTCGCGGAATATTTATGCGGCAAGACACTCAGAAACGGCTACCACTTTCTCGACCATTTTTAATATACTATTAACGTACTGATATACGCTTTCGACTCGAGCCGGCACATTTTTAACTCGCAATGAGTGCATTTTGCAACAGCCAATTCTTAGCAACGACGACAAAACGAGCAGTCTCTCCGTCGAATTTGAAGCAGTCACGGAAATACTCAATTGACAGCTCACCGAGTTCTGCCGCTCTTTCTCGCGATGGCGCGAGTTTCATCGCTTACCCATGAATTTCCCGCCGGCTTCGGCTCGTTCGACAGATCGATCAGCAGGTTCTTCTGGCTGTCGTTGTGTCGTTGGCCGTTCTGCTTATTCTGCTCGTTTATCTTGCCGGTGGTTTTGATCTCGCTGCTGTTCTTCTTCTCGTTGTTATCTGCAATCGAAGACGAGGCGAGACGCGCCTGATTGGAGGATGTTACGCACCATTTGCGGCGGATTGATTCGTCCCGCGTGTCTACATCTCGCTCGCGAAACTTCGCCTGCTACCTTAGCGGTAAGAAACGCTCGCGCGCGGCATACTCCTCTCGCTCCCGCGAGCTTTAATGGACCGCGTGCGCGCGCGACGTGTGTGTACCGTCCCAATATTAACGCACAATTTCCTGGCTCACTCGCTCGCTCTCTCGCTAGGAAGCACCCCGCAATATCCGCACTCTCGGTGGGTTAAGTGCGGAGCGTATATAGGCACTGCACTTCACGACCGCCGAGCCGCGTCAGCCTCTCTTTGCGCCGTGCTCGCGCTCACTCTCGCGCCCAAATGCTCGATATATTAGAGCCCGACGATTCTCCGTACCGAATTAAGAAAAGGGAGAGAGAGAGAGAGAGAGAGAGAGAAGCCAGTTCGATTTACCGCCAAGTTGCAGCGAGCATTTGAGCTCTCCTCGCTTACACTCGCTCTCTCGCGTCTAAACTAGCATCGTGTAAACTAGCGGTGGAATTATCATTCGCGAGCACAGATCACGCGCGCGACTCGCGATGGGGTTCGCAAGGAAGAATTCGCGAGAAGCAGCACCGTCCTTACCGATCCTATCACCCGTCAGCGGTGGACTCTTGTCCTGCGTATGATGGATCCTGGGATCGGACTGCGACAGCTGCCAGGCTTGGTAAGCCGTGTTAAAAGCCTGAGCCACGGTCAGCGTCACGGTCTGTGCCATTTTTCTCTTGGGGCAGAGGAACGCGTGACACTCCATCGTCTCGTTCAGGTTTGTCGCGATGAACGCGAACACGTGGTCGTGCGTCGCGTCCGCCGAGCAGTACGAGATCCTGCGACAAACGAGAAACGGGAAAGCTTATTATTGAGGCAACGTCGATTGTTTCGAGGCTCTTGGGCTTTCAGCCGTGCGAAACGACCGACAAAGCCGCGGGCGAGCCCGGCGACGATTTTGAGCGTTGCGATATATCACAATTTCTTTAATGATGATCAATTTATTCTTGTCGAAAAAGTTATTACTCTTTCGACGAGACTAAATCGTTATTCACTGAATGTTTTCGGTCGCAATGTTGTCTTTCGATCTCCTTCGATGTTGCAATTGGCAGAGTTACGATATTTTACTGAAGCAACACGATGTTACATCTATCGAATGATTCGACTGGAAAACTTAGATCTAACCATAAATTCAAATCTCTGCGTGTGCCTTCGTGAGATAAATTTCAGGTGATAATATTTCAGGTGATATTTCAACGATCTTACTGATATTAATAATACGAGACTACAAAGAGAGAATAATAGATTTCTTTTCGCCTCTTTTTCTATTAGAAAATTAATAGTTTCCTCTTGGTAAGTTTTCACTGGGAAATAATTTCCCAGTAAAAAATGAGGTTTCATATAGTCGCGTACGCGCTGCAACACCGGCCTTTCGAAGACGATCCTTAGGCTTTTGCGCGAGCGCGCGATGCAACTTATGCAAATCCGCGCTCACCGCTCGCGGCGACAGTCTCTTCCGTTTATGTCGCGCAGTATTCGCTACCGTGTATAGCAGTCGAAAGTTTGCCGGAGGGCACTTAGACGGTTCCTAAGGGGAGTCGGGGTAATATGCAAAGGGCGGCGTCGCGGCGCACGAGGATGCACCGCGAGTGCTCATAAAAGGGCGGAAGCACTGACGTAAGCAGTATTTAGGAGACCCTCGTACTTCCCTGAAGAAGAAGCCTTGAAATCCCGTTATTCTTTGCTTCAGACAATGATCTTGACATATCTTTTTAACAACAATAACAGCGCCGTAACGTAAAAACTTCGTACAGTCAGATGATTTTAAAGGTCGCAACATTTTCCCTCCACGAGTCTCGTAACGTGTCTAATAGGAGGATTTGTTCTTCATCCTCTCTCTCTCTCTCTCTCTCTCTCTCTTTCTCTGCTTCTCATGAGAACAATATTTTCTTACTAGAGATAAAAGAGATCGGGTTTGTTTGTTGAACAGTCTTTTATGCTGTAAGATTCTTCTACATTATAAGACTCCCCTTCTCTATTCCCGAAATTAATTACTACTGCTTATTTTAATACCAAAGAAGCGATTTTCTTCAATGAAGTTAAATAAATAAAAATAAACGAAAAAGATAAGTTGCCAAATTCATCGAGGAGAAGTGTTGCGACTTTTGCCAATCGCCTGACTGTACAAGGCTTCGTTCTCGATCCGAGAAGTCTCCACTTCCTCTTTTCCCCTATTTTTTCTCAATTTTTTCCCTTCCTCCGCCCTTTCTCCAGCTTTGTAAATCGCGACGCCGCTAGCCACGGCGTCGGTCAAAAGTCGATAACACCGGCAGCCATGAAATAATACTCTTTAACGCTTAAACCGGCGCGCGGCTTAATCTTATTCAGCGGCGCGTCTTCGCACGGCGGTTAATTAACTCGCCGTTAATGGCGCCCGGCTACGGAAGTACGCGGCGCGCGCGATTAAGGGAATTTATAACCGACACGTCGACCCTCGCCCCGTCGCCCTTTTTTGCACCGTCCGTGAAATTTCTCGTTCGCCACTTCTGCGCGTGCATTATGCACGGCGGAACAAAGCCCGAGCGAGTTCGCCGCGCGTAACAATGGAAACCACTGCCGCCGCCGCCCTCGTCGGAATTTCGCGTCCGGGCTAAACGGAGTCCGTCGCGAGATCATTATTGCGGGAGAAAGAGAGAGAAAGAAAGAAGAGAGAGGAAAGTACGTCTCTCTCGTTAGGTCGCCGAACGGAAACTCGGCGCGACTCTTTCGGAATGCGCCCCATCGCTCGGCGGCCAATGGAAATCTCGCTTTCCACGTGCCGATAATTTTCTTCTTTCTTTTCGAGCGCGAAAAGAGCGACGAAAATAAGCAATTAAGCGCTTCGCGACGGTCCGTTACAATAACGGCATCAAAAATATTGCACATTCTGTGCAAATCGAATATGAAACTTACGATACGAGAGAGAAGAGGGGACAAGGGACAGAGAGGGAGTGCACATTTGTTGTCTCTATATTTGTGCGTGTCTGTGGAGGAGGAGGAGGAGGAGGAGGAGGAGGAGGGGAAGGGGGAGATTACATCCTGCAGTTTCCCAGTGGCGGGTCGGAAATAGCCGCGCCAATAATTTCCCGCAACGAGCATCGAAATCGCATCGCGTCGCCCGCAGCACCGCCATCACTGTCATTATCTAGGATTTTCAATACACTCTCGGTAGCATATATACACACGGGATATATAATCGGACGCAGCCAGTGCGCGAAACATGCAGCAAACCGTGACGCAGGCGGCCGCGCCGCGAGTTTCATTCGGGGGCGATTAAAATTTCAGTCCACCGGGCTGGCGAATGTTTCGCGAAAAAACGATTACTCATCATATTGCATTTCGCGCGCCTCGTACTCTCGATATATTTTCCCCGTATCGGGGCGAGCGCGTCGTGTTTTTTGCGCGGAACATACGTCTGAGGGAGGGAGGGAGGGAGGAGACGCCCGCGCCGCTGCGGCTCGATAGTATGTCAGTTTTACAGACGATTCGAGCCGCACCGGAAGGATCGATTTCTTAACGACAATAATAATTATAAGAGCGATCTCGCGACTGGACGACAGAAGGGTGAAAAACTCGTCTTTAAAACGCGGAAGGGTTCACGGGAGCGTTGGACAAGATTTATTCGCACGCACGAGAGAAATTCACGACGCAAATATACCTACGGAAAGACGTCCGTGTTGGACGCCCTGTCGCCATTAGATATATTAATTAACGACAAGCAACATCGGAGCCGTTGGTCCCGTTTGGTCTACTAATCCGCTATACTCGGATTATCGGTCGGAAACTCTCACCTGTATATCGACACCTGAAGCTGATCCTCTTCGGTAGCGAGGTCCGTCATTCTAATCCCTCTCAAACTCACGGCCAGGGAGACCCTTTGAAGCTTTTTTCCGCTTGCTTTTGCCTGTAACAAACGACGGGAGGGATGGGATAAAACGCGATGATACGCCAGAGTTACCACTCATTAGCGGACCGGCAAAAGTAACTTTGTTCCGTCGATTCGTCTGTGAAACCGTAACGCAACGAATGATGTGTCACAATAAGAGAAAGAGAAAGAGAGAATATGTTCGCAAGAGGAAAATATTGCGTGCGGAAAAATGCGTTTAATACAGCATAGGACGGAGATGGAAACAAATGAATAAGAAATAGATAATAAATACACCCCTTGAGAGAGAGAGAGAGAGAGAGAGAGAGAGAGAGAGAGAGAGAGAGAGAAAAAAAACATCGACAAACTCGACTCGGTCATCTTCGCTCAAGCAGATGCCGTGCCAGAACGCGGATCAAATTGCAATCATCGGATCTATCGACGACGATACGATTTGTCTAGCAGAACGAACATTTTTGCTCCAACGAATTTCGTTCGTTCAAGCAGAGTTTCGTTCATCCCCCCCCCTCATTTTTCTCCTCGGTGTAGTCAGTGAAGAGCAAAAATAAAGCCAACAGACATAGGGAAACGAATGACGGCAATAATAAATGGTGAAATTTTACGATTTCACGGAATGCAGCAGAAGAAATCGAACGAGCCGGCCTACGAGAAATATTTTCGAACTCGTCAATTTACAATCAATTAATTTCCCACTGGAAAGCGCGACCGTCGGCGCTTCCGCGGCATCTGCTCGCCGATGTAGCCGGAATGGAACGAAATAACGCTTCTCCCTGGCCTCTGCTTAATATTCTGCAAAGTTTCCCAAGAGCGCGTCTGCAAAACGCAAATGATCATCCGACTGAACGCGACGAGTTCCTGTCGACGAGTTCCTGTCGACTTTTTCCGCTGCGTCGGCAATCATTTGGCCGTTTGCTCGAGCGGAAACCGATGTTTACCGAGGCGTCTGGGACAGTCGGACAGGCGGTGTGCGGGTGGATCGAGGTGAATTCGCGTAGACGGCTAAAGTAGCGTAAAGCATGGCGAACGGGGCGCAAGGTAGCTGATATTACTAGCTTTTTCGGAGATCAAATATCTCGTCTGTTAAACGACGAGCTCCCGGTGCGAGCGAGCGCGCCGAGGCAATGCAATTACGAGGTTTCATGTGGATTAAGCGGTCCATTTAACGATTTAACTCCGCGCACACTCGCATAGATATCCCACCTTAATCGCGAACGTCGCGCGAAATTCCACGGCGTATCCTAAGCCCGCGATTTTCCTGTGGATCCCTGCGAACGGCTCCCTCTTTGTCGCAGATACGTAATCAGAATGAGACAGAGAAAGAGAAAGAGAGAGAGAGAGAGAGAGAAGGAGCTAGAGGATATACAGGTTCCTCTAATCCTTACTCGAGAAAAGCTGATTAGGGGGATTCCTCGATAATATACTAATCGCGCTCCAAAGTGATATTATTAATTTAGCTTGATAAGAAAGAGAGGCGGGGGGAGAGGGTATATCACGAATGACATAAAATTTAATTCGCCTCCAAGTGGAGCTCACCCGGAATTTCTTCGAGGGCTAGCGTAAAATGGATTAAGGATACAGCGGAAGTACTACGAGCGACAAGGATTTGTCTAGTAGAAGGAGAGAGACAAACGGGGAGAGAGAGAGAGAGAGAGAGAGAGAGAGAGAGAGAGAGAGAGAGAGAGAGAGAGAGAGGGGAGAAGAAAGCAAAATTGCGAGAATACGATAAAAATCACGATTGCCTCAAATCAACATCGCGGTCTACTATATTGAGGACAATAAATATTTGTTCTGCACGTCCATGTGCACACGCACACACACACACACACACACACACACACACACATACACAATATGTGCACACGGGAAATTGAATCCTTCGGGAATTCAATTTTGTTTGATCAATATCATTAGAACGATGAAATACAAAGCGGTTAATTATACGATCACAAATGCGAGCCCCGCATTTAATTTCCTACTCACGATTTCATAACGATCAATTAACGATATTACTCCGTAAAATTATTCTACAAAGTAGTCGAGCTTTCAATTGAATTCCTCATGCCCGCTTCCTTATCCGCCCCGCCTGACCTTTGCTACGTAAATAACAACAATTGCCGGGGGAAATGAGAATTGATGTTTTCCGCAGTCCAAGGAAAATCCGTGGAAATATAATCGCGACAAAGTTCCCTGCAAATTAACGAGCACTCTCGAGGAAAGGACGAGCTTCGCAGGCGATAACAAGATAACGAAATTCAAGATTGGTCTTTCTCTCTCGCTCTCTCTCTCTCTCTCTCTCTCTCTCTTTCTCTCTTTCTTTTTGTTTATTTTTCAATTATCACCCTTAATCCCAGAAAACACACGCGCGATTGTCGCGATTATTCAGCCGCACGTCCAGGACTGTCCGCGCGTGAGAAGGTCCGGATAACTGAATGTCCGTGCATTTTCCGCCATCCGATCAAAAAAGAAGAAAAAAATGTTCCGGTCTGCGTGATCTCCTGTCTCCTGGGGAAGGACTAAAGACACGAAGGCAAATTCTTGTTTCTTCTCGCGAAAACACTTGGGACGACGGAAAGAGCAACTTGTATACACGTGTCCGAATCGATCTCGACAAGTTACATAATATAGATTAGGCCAGCGTGTGTGTACACATCCGTGTAGTATCTTCTTGCTCGCAAACACCAAGTAGCGCTATCAGCGGGAACTTGCGGGCATAAGTTGTGCGAAGTTGTGCTTATGGTCGCGACACGACGGCAAGACGATGCTATTAGACGCGCGAATAACATTATCTCAACTCGGCAGCAAAAACGTCTCAATTAACGGCTCGGCAGACAAGGAACATCCGTGCGTGTAATAAGCCTGGAGTTACGTCGAGCCGGATTAATCAACGCGTCCGAGAAACCTAGTCGAGACCTAGTGAAAGAGAAAGAGAAAGAGAGAGAGAGAGAGAGAGAGAGAGAGGGAGAGAGAGAGAGGGAGGGAGAGAGTCGAGTAGAGTAGAATAGAATAGGGTAGAGTAGAAAGAGAGGAAGAGAGAGAGAGGGTGGAAGGAGGGAGAGACCGTTGTGCGCGAGTGACGCGATCAATTATTCCGACGGGAGATTGAATTTATTGTTTCCAATCGCGAGAGAGACAAAGAGAGAAAGAGAAAAGGAGGAGAACATCTCCCTCGCTCTGTCGCTTTGGTTCGCGGATTTTACAGGCGGAGGAATTAACAATAATGGATGCAATTATGCCAGGTACAAAAGACGCCGATGGAGGGATCAATCGGAATGAGCAAGGGGCAGGAGAGAGCAGGGGGCAGGAACGAGAACGGACCGGGACAATTAGCGGCAGAGACGAGGCGCGGTCCTCGCTTTGATCGGGAAGTTTCTGCGGGATACGATTGCGCGCTGTCGACAAACTTTCGAATCGATCCAAATCGAGACGGGTTCGCCGGTTCGCGAAAACCCGCGTGCCGGTTTTGGCAAAACCACTCGAGCGAAAGTGCTGTAGCACAAAACACACACAAACGTGTATTAAAATTCGCTAACCGAGCGAGGAATATCTTGAGCGGGAAATCTCTGCGTTTTCCGTCGACTCGACCCGGCGATTATTTTTTCTTCCGTTTTTGTATTCACCGAAGGCACCCTCGTGTTCTCGGGATCCCTACGAACGACCACTAGCCGCGACCAATATTTACGCGTGATATGTTTATCGCGGATGTTATTGCAAATAAAGTTGCGCGACGGGCCAGCGATAATTTATATATTTGCCGCTTTAAAATTATAGATTTATCCTGGCCATCGAGCATTAAATTTGCCGTATCGACCATGGGAGATGTATCTCAGCGTATGTTTTCATCGTGAGCCGCAAGCGAATCCCAGCTTCGTTAATAACTATGTCGGAAATTGCCGAAATATGTGCATTACCGCTTTCTGCAATTTCGTGTAATTTCGCGATATCAGTCGTAATCGCTTCGAAATTGGAATTATATGAAGCGCGCGCGCGAAGTTTCGTTATTAATTAATCGCGCTCCCTCTCGTTCCCCCTCCTCTTCTTCCACAAATCATCGCGATCGCATAAATTCACTGCCTCGCAGAATTGCGCCGTGCACAATAAGAATCTCGCTGTTGCGAAACTAAATCGCGGTTGATGGAAACTCGCTCGCGAATGCCGAGTGAGATTGGTTTCTCTTTGTGTTCGCTTCTTCCTTTTCTTTTACGGTCAATCATCCGTAAGTCCACGAAAGGAATTATTTTGGTCGCTCTACTTTGTCGACCGATCGGCACGATTTCCAGGGCACAAAATGTGATATTTCAATATTCATTTCTCCCTCTCTCTCTCTCTCTCTCTCTCTCTCTCTCTTCCTCTCTTCTCTCCCGCTTGGCTTAACGATATTTAATGTCTCGTATTCGAGTCACGTGAAATTCCGCGCACAATAAATTCGTCGAAAATATTTTCCGCGTCGACGTAATTTTTCCACAATTAGCTGTCGTACTAAACCGATAAAGCGCGCAAAATCGCGTATCCGATGGTATTCTCGCGCGTCGAGAAAGTAAAAATCGTTAGCGGACGTGATATTAGCGCCGGCGATATTTCTCGCGCACAAAGTCGAACGTAATTAACGAACGAGCGGAAGTTGGATCAAACAAGTGGACTCTAATTAATGCCGCTTTTTGCGCGAGCCGTACTAGCTTTTCGTGAGAGCGTCTTTTTTCTTTCGCTTCTCCCCTTTCTGCCCTTCTCTTTTTTCTTGTCCTTTTTCGCTTTGCTCATTTCCGAACTTGGCGCATTGGACGCGATCGCGAAATGCGCGATTCGACTTCCGTCGGAAGCTTGTTATTAACGTCGACCACGTGCAATCCGGCCATCATTGCGAGCGACTGCGCGATACAAGAGAAGAAGTCAGCAAAACGAAAGAGAGAAAAGGAAAAGAGACGGAAGACAGCAATTATGCGCGGAAACACACAGAAAAGGCTTGTGTCGCGTCGCAACGAACGCCACGGACGTCAGCCGCGACAGAGACGGAGCGGCGAATGGACTGGCGGCAAAGTAATCACGATTCATTTTCATTAGCTTTATTAACGGGCCCGCGGCTACGCGGAATTAGTCCTTTGCAATTTCAATTAAATTCTCTTCACGGCGGCCGCGTCGGAAAATGGTTAAAGGAAATTACGCGATGAAATACAATTTCGTCGTAAATAATACAGCGACAATCGCCGGCGGAGAGAGAGAGAAAGAGAGAGAGAGAGAGAGAGAGAGAGAGAGAGAAAGAGAGAGAGAGAGAGAGAGAGGGAGAGGGGAGGGAAAGGCAAAGAGAGCAAGAGCAAAATCTACTCACAAATGCCAGATTTGTTCATAATTGAAAATTCAACTGACCGTGCGACGAGCACGAAGAGCGCGACGGCGCGGCGCGGCGCAACGCGACGGGACGAATATCAATGTGCAAATTATCGCGTACGGTATATCGTACATACGAGATACATAACGTAAAACGCGCAAAATGCCTCGGGAATTACGTTTCGCGAGGAAAAAACAATCGGTCAGTAGTCCGCCCGGTAGGAAACGGGCTTTCCGCGCATTGGGAAATGCATGCGCGGCTCTGCACATTTTATTTTCTCTCTTATTCAATATTCACGCGCTCTCATAGCGCTCTTCGGTACGCTCTTCGGTCGTTTTCACCGCGTCGTTACGCGTTACGAACTCTCCGGAAAACACGCGCATATTCTCCTTGAGTGGAAAATTCAGCCAAACCGGGCAGATTGACGGACCACTTTTTCCTTCGTCGTCGCCGCGGGCGGCAAAGGAAACTTATCGGACGGATGCAACGCGTTTCGTTTCTCGAGTGCGACCACAAGCACGGCGGACACACCGGAGGCGGCCCTTAAGAACACACGAAGGTACTCAGGTTAAACCACAGCACGCGTGAGAGAGGGGTTGAAGGGTACTCGAATACGCACCATGGTGATGACGGTCTTGATGGCTTCCGCCGTGGCCTCCTCACTCGAGGGCGTCTCGACGAGGGTGCTGCCCAAATATTTGAGGGTGAACCTCGCCTCGGACGCGTCCTCGGATTCCTCCCCGTGCGTCGTGCCCGCCGAACCGCCGCCGCCACCCTCCACGCACTCGCGGCTGTTCGCCAACGCCCATTCCTCGCATAATTCTGAAAGTTAGCGTCAAGCGGCACGTGAGAGGCGAGAGGCGAGAGGCGAGCAAAAGCGCGATCTCGATTAAGAGCTCAAGCTTGCTTTAGACTTCGGCCTGAGTTATCGTTAATATTCGCTCTCGGATTCGTCGGTTATAATAACTTAATCGAGCGAGATGATATTAAATGGAGGAGAGGGGGAAGGATATTCCAGATAGAGGGACAAGAAAATCGGCTTTTGTGCGGCTTATGCCTTTCTACTCTGCGCGCTGTTTAATTTTACATCGTGTTTGCATCTCATTCTCCGCTGATCTCGGCGATCTCGTTTGTTATTACCACGCAACGATCAGAATCTCGCGCTAGATTGTTGTCGGTGGACACCGACATTGCTGATTGGTTTCAGCCGGAAGGTCCATTGGAGGGAATTCTATGTCGCAGATTCCAATGATGAGTCTCGACGTTTCTTGACTGATCTTGTTATTGATCCCTGTTACAACTTGCTTCATACTTGTCTAGTCTAACTGTTACGGATATTAAAGTATCGTCGAAGTTTTAATTCGATCATTACTATTGTCGATCTTTCGCGAGCAAGACTTTGTTTCTTTCTCAAGACTTCTCTCTGCGCACTCGGTTTCGATCTCGGCAAACTTACGAGCGCATCAATGTGCGAGAGAGCTCGCGCAATCGCGTAGGAGCGTGCGAAGGGCCCAAAAATTTGGAAACCGCTATGGTTCGCGCAAACACACGCAAGCTCGCTGGCATCGACGGAGATGGAATGCCGGGTTGTTACGGACGGAAAGGGGGATGACCGATGTAACATTAGTCTAGGTCTGTGCAACCACATGAGCCAGCCTCGTTGTCTGTCTACTTCGTGACGGGAATAGCCGCACGTGCACGCGGCAATAATGGATGCCCGAATTTATACGGGTATTTAGTCAAACGCGAGAAGTGCACGCGGGAGGGAAAGCGGGAGAGGCGTTCTTCTCCGCGCCGTAGTAAAAAAAAAATAAAAGAAGACTGGAGAAAAAAGCACTCAGCGACGCAAGGGAAATGTTCGTCTCTGGTGCGCGTGTGCTTCTGTTTTTACTTTATTATTTTACCGCGTGGAGTATAGGCGGCGTTTTTTCTCTTCGTGTTCCCTCCCTTTCCGGAAAACTGCAATTTTTCAAACGAACGAGCGACTTACGCAAACACTCCGGCTAAATGAATTCTCTCTGGCGACAGAAATAATTCCGCAGCGATCATTTCCGCGATCCATATCACACTTCCACCGATGTCCGCAAAGAGAGCTGATACGGAGAGAGGCAGAGAGAGAGAGACAGAGAGAGAGAGAGAGAGAGAGAGAGAGAGAGAGAGAGAGAGAGGTATTTGCGCGTAAGTTCATCGTTTTTCATAATCGTAGTTAATGTGTGCCCATTTGTTTGCATAACACATTTTTTTTTCGATGAAATTAAAGACGCATCAAACGATCGCAGTTGCGAACTACTGCTCGTAAGTTTGCGCGATGATTGGTTGCGATGGCAGCCGAAATGACAGTATTCGCGATGTGTGAATATTGGCCCTTTGTTAAACTCTCTTCATCTGACAGATGACGGCACAATAAACATATCTAAGTTATCCTTAAATTCCCTCGTGGCGAAGTTGTGACGTCGATGTCACATACATTGTCACTTGGCTTCCTGTCATAACCTCGCGCTTCTAGCTTCGTCGGGAAACCTCTGTGAAAACGTACGCGCGCAGACGAGTGTACCACAACAAAGCGATTCAATCCGAAGCGCAGTGAAGAACCGCGGAAAGTTTCGCGACGTCCTTTTATCAGCGTGATTCGTCTTCATCGCGATCTCTCTCTCTCTCTCTCTCTCTCTCTCTCTCTCTCTCTCTCTGCGCCAAGCATCATCGATGGTGATTCGCGACGTTATCGCGAAACCGCGGAGACCGCGGGGACCGCAGGCGGATGCCGCGCGACCCGTTATTGCCGAGCGCGAAACTTTACCGCGGGACAATTTTGTAAAAGCGGTGGGAACTACTCGTTACTACTCGTGACATGCCGGGGCGCGTCGTGACGTTTGCTCCGAGAAAAGAAAATCGAGCCACCCCTTCTGCCTCTTTCTCGCACTCTCGTTCTCGCTCTCGCTCAGCAGCAGCAGCAGCAACACCGCAGAGTCCCACGGGCGTTTCTGCTCGTGAGGATGTGTTCCTTCAGGGAAGTTAGTAGCGGTTCGCTATACCAGCGATGTGTCAAAAAGTTTCCGTGTCGTGGCACGACAATACGTGCGCCTGACTTTTTCCCTCTGATCCCGTCGCTCCTTTTTGTCTCTTTCTCTCTTCGCAAATCGACCAGCGAAATAAAAGTCTCGGGTACAAATCGAGCAGTCAGATAAAAAGGAGCTATCGATCGCGCCGATACTCGCGCGTCTTCGGGGGTGACGCACCCCTACGCCCGAGCTGTCGCCGGCGAATTTGGTAGACGCTCCCCTTGCTCCTGCGTTTACGTGCAACTTTTTCAACGATTATACTCGGGTCAGCCTCGGGTTTTCAACGAGTTTCTCGACGGTCGCGTGTGAAATTGAATTTCTCTGTTGAGATAAGCACGTCTGCGAAAAACCGCGCTTATAAAAAAGAAGAGTTCAAAAACACTGTCTCGCTCGCGAGGGTTGAATGGTAAAGATAATTGAATTGATCCGGGGATAATCTAATATCCGCAACAATAATGGAATAAAGAAGCAGACTGATTAAGAAAGGACACAGACAAATGTTACTTTTCTCAATCCGATCCGAGGTAAGTTAATTTCTGAAAATCCAATTTACGCGTTGCGTTCGCGACAGCCTGGCGGATAAAAATGGACGACGGTTGTTTCGGAGAATCGAGGAACGTCAGAGGACACGAAAGCACGCGGGACGCGCGATCGCCGTGGCCATTTGTATCAATTTGTCAACGAGCACTTCCTACGCTGAGCTTTTTTCCCCTCGCATCGCGCCGACTATCAATCTCCGGCGACCTCCTAACATCCATAGATCCTCTTCCTCCTTTCCTCTTTCTCTCTTTTTCTCATTCTCCGCGATAAAAACGCTTCCGAACGATGCGTTTCCTCGTAAAACGGAAGAATGCATCCGAACGACGTGACGACATCGCGTTCGTGATAAAGTTTGTCATACGATCCGCAAACGCGTAAACATCCCGATATTTTATCGCGGAGGTCAAGAGAGAGAGAGAGAGAGAGAGAGAGAGAGAGAGAGTATTCGCTATATTAGGAGAATCTCGGACATTTACTTTCTCGTGCGATTTTCGACGCACGGCGTCCCTGAGACAATATTAAGTCTCGTATCGCAATTTTGTCGCGCGCGCGCGGTCTTGGCGAAATACGCATCGTCGTGTGAGTAACAACGTCGTCCCCGATGTTGACATCGAGCAGATAAAATTCAGCAAACGTTGAATTCGGTCGTGCCGGGAATACGCGGGGGACACGTGACGCTGTCCTTATTCGGCGGAATAAGAAGAATTGACTTCGCGCGCCGATCGACGAGTATTTTAATATTTCAACGGTCCGTTGACAGGACGCTACGTGAAAGCCATTCCCGCACGATGCTGCTACCGACGGAAACGCGAGCGCCATCCGGCTGAAAATTTATGCGAACCGCTTCCACCCGGCGCACCGTGGAAAACCGATATGCGGTGTAACGCCCCTGAAATTCCATTGAGGGAAAAGGCGCGGACGGGTCTGAGGCGGACGCCTCGCACGATGCGGTGCGGTAGCGTCGTGAGAATTTTCACGACGGGTGTCCGGGAAATTCCGCCGGGCGAAATTTTTAATCGGACGTATCGCGCAAATCTCGCGCTAACCGTCGACTGATTCGGTTCGATTCGATTTGACATGATGCAAAAGGTTTGCCAGAATTCAACTCGAATATCTTTCCGGCCATGTTTGCGTTTCCACTTTACGCCGTAATTATTCTCACCGTTGCTGCTCTCCCGCTTAATTTGAATAATAAAATTTATATTGTCACCATTATTATTAGCATTTCATGATTAATTTATCATTATTATTTTATCCCATTATTATAATTATAATTATTATTGTCATTATCATTATCATCCTAAAAATGCTAAAATGTTCAAGACTTTTCTTCGAACCATCGATCAGTATTAGACGAATTTCTAAGTTTCCGTAAAGTACACTTTACTCATGAAAGAGTTATTTGGGAAACTCTCTTTAGCTAGTGCCTATATCCTCCGGACTTTTCGAACTCGTCTTCAACATCCCTCTTCAGCGCATCCTTTGGTACATGCTCCTGTAGTAATTTGCGAATAACGCCGATGACGAAGTTACGGCGGTAATGTGAGTTTTACGAGCGCTTCGACGCGCCGATGTCTCGTCGATCGAGGCATTTTCACGCGCCTGAAGATCGCGAAGGATCTTCGAGACGTGCAGTTTCCGTGGCCGGAGATGGGAGGGTCTCGCGGTTCGTTTTATCCGGGGGTCGAGGAAGTTTCCGTCATAGCTCGCGGCAACACTCGAAATCGTTTCTCTTCCTCTTCCCCCTTCTCTCTCTCTCTCTCTCTCTCTCTCTCTCTCTCTCTCTCTCTCTCACACTCAACTCCGCTCATTCCATCGAGCAAAAGCAATTTGCAGACCGCTTTTCTCGCCTCGGATGCGAATTCTGGAAAATTGGGCCAATTACCTGAAGTTTTCCGACGATTACTATAACGACCATGGCTGGCGACTGGTAAAATTAGCCATTCGAGAAATCGAGAACGTGTACAGAACCGGAGACTCGCGCGCCCGCTCAGAGGTCTAATTCCTCAATTTTTCCGCACGGAGGATTTATTCGCGTGCGCGTAGCGTGTGCTCGTTTCGACGTGCTTCACGCTCGAGGACATCACTCGACAGGCCGGCCGCCGGAAATAAGGCGTCGAGCGAGCAAAACGTGCTCCTTCTATGAGGTGATAATTACAGAATTTCACGCGCAACGAGAGATCATCTCGTGAGCTTTAACGTCAGCTCAACAAAGATCCCCGA